CCGTTATCGGCATTCTGAATAGTACCTATAGGAAGCGGTAAGGTACATTTACAAACTGGGTACCTAGGTACGGTAAGGTATCGCAAAAACTACCCATGTTCCCCATCCATGGCGACGTGTTTCGCACGACTCTTTCGTGCCCCGCCAAGTAGGGTGTTTCGAATACTGCACGCAGATAACTTTTTCCCCTCCGCGTGGTCGGACCAAAAACCTTGGGCCAATAGTGGCCTCGCGGTTAGTCAAGCCAAGCCAAGCCAAGTCAAGTGGCCATGGATATGTATGCATGCAAGGTCTCATAGCGCCTAGGAGGTAGGCAAAAACTTGCCTGCAGGGCATGCGTGTCCAGCGGTGTGGCCTACCCAGAGTCTCGCAGGCGCCAAACTCACCCCATACCATACCTTGCTGAATAATTTTTTTTAAAAGGGCATTTTTACGCTGTGTTCACCTTATATACCTCCCCACCCCCCTTGATGTTGTTCCCACGTCCGCATCGGTATAAAACAAATGATTATATATTTCAAATGGAAGAGTATAAGAAAAACAAACAAAGAAATATAATAATAAACAAACTTTTAGTCTGGATCGGGAAGGGTCTGATATTCCTAAACTAACAATTATCACAAAATTAAATGGAATAAAGTAATTATTTTACAAGTTCACAGTCGAGGAATGATGACTAGTCCGCATTATAATGCTTTGATGGTGGGTCCGAATCATCCCGCATCTCCTAATGGCAGCCCAGACCATTCGCAACGATCATGTGTGTAGCAATAGCTTAGCTCATAGGTGGAAAACTTCAGCTCGGAGTTCAGGGCCAGGAGTTTCTGTGACTCGACTGGCGGATTATTGCTTATCTGCTGCCGCTATAACCGAGCCGGCACCTACGTCTACATGACATGATTTATGAATTTATGTGTTGAGGCGTGTCAGCATTACAGTTAACTGTCTGTGTGGGTTACTGCACTTGAACACGATCGTCAATTTTCACGGCGACGCCGAAGCTGCAGCAGCGCAAGCGTAAAGCAGATTCGGCTTCGGTGCACAGGGTACACACGGCCGCATCCGGTTGGGCCGTCGCGGCGTGCTTGAAGAAGAGGATGCACCTCTCACCACTAGGAACCGAGATTTGACGTGTACGCCAGGTCACCTTCACAACTACGTGGAGCGGCATGGGGGACCTGCGCACGAGGTCCTGGCACTCTGCGCATACAAGACGGGGCCCTTCATCTCGCGTTCTGTGCGGGCGGGCGCACACAGGAAACACATTTAATCGAGGGGGCAAGAACTCCAGGATTCATGTGTACACACATGCTTGGCAATCATCATGATAAAAACTAATCGAAATCAACAGAAATCGCTTAAACTAAGCGGGAAACTAGTGGAACATGCTATAAAATTAGTCGAAATAAACGTTTTCTACCTCTAGAAAACCTAAGAAATAAATAGAATCGGACGGGAATCACTGGGAATTAAGTATTTCGGGAATCATGTGTCCACATCAAAAAGGAGTTATTGCCCCCTCGCATTGAATGGTGCAGCGACTTACGTGCAAAGCCCGCGTAGTCAGACGAAGGGGCGGCATCCTGGTCAGCCGTGAAGCTGTCCGTGAAGAGCAAGAGGCGGAGCGCCGGGATGGCTCGAGCGGGGATGCAGGCGAGTGCCTCGGGCAGCGTCGGCGTCCACAGCTTCAGGATGTGGAGGGACTGGAGGTTGGGCAGGCTCGCCAGCGCCGCCTGCAGAGCGCCCGGCTGCAGGCGAAAGTCCGTGAAGTCAAATCTGAGAACCAGCTGCTTCAGGCCGCTGAGCTTCGCATCAGCCAGGGTGCGGAGCGTCTGGGTACCGCAGCTCCCGACATCCAGGCGTTGCAGTGAGCCCTTGCACGACTCCAGGAACGCGACAAGCTGGCTCTGCAAACGATGAAGGTTTCTAGGAGGCGGCACGGGTAGGTTACCGGGCAAGCTCTCGGAGGAGGATAGGTCTATACTTTGAGTATCGTCATCCCGTCGTTATTCGAGAGGATCTTCAGATCCTGGAGCCGACTCATTGGCTGCAGCACCACGGCGGGTCTAGAAGGTACAGTCACAGTCACGAGCATCCGCTCGAGTACACCAGGGCGGGAGTCCAGCAGCGGCAGCAACGGCATCATTTGCAACGTCCTCAAATTCAAGAAGCGCACCGTGCGCCTGAAAGCACAGTATCCAAAGAAAATAAATGACGAACTGCCCCCGTTCTCCCCGTTTCCGGAACAGCCTCATCGGAATAGCCTACGTGTGCGCCAGCAGCAGCGAGTTGAGGGCTTGCAGTACGGTGTGATCAGGCCCCCGCTGCTGTCGAGAGCCGTCGTAGTATTCGCCGGTGCTTGCCAAGGACACGTGGCGCAGTTTGGGCAACGTCCACGCCTGCGGACACGCGGGCGGTCAAGAACATGACGGTTGCAGCCCCCCCCCCTTCTCCTCCCCCCACACCCACCTGCGGCCAGCTGAAGTTACATTGTAAAAAATAGGTTTCCAGGCTGATGTCCAGATTTCGCACGAGGCGGGCAGACCGTAAGCCAAGCAGGATAAACTCCAGCCCACGATCAAGGCCCGAGATCTCCAGGTACTCCAGATGAGCCGTGACCTCCTGGATTATGCTGGAGCAGCACTCCGCGGTGATGCCCTCCACTGCCAACGTGGTGAAGGCTTTCAGTTGAGTCTGCCTGCAGGGAAAATAAATCTGTAGCGTCCTTCGGCTAACGAAGGAAGAAGAGCGGGTAGGGTACAAACGTTCCCGATTCGTCAGGTGGTTGCCGCCTGTTCCTCACGTCGGCAGTTGGGGGGGGGGGGCATAGGCTTGACCTATCAGGAACCTTTATGTTCTTCCCTCTATTCTTCTTCCTCCGATAGCCGAAGAACACTAGTGGGTCAGTATCAGTTATGTGCACGCCAGCGCGGATCAGCAGCCAGCCTCCGGGCGAGGGGGGGGGGGGGAGGGTCCCACCTGGTGAAGCACTCTAACTGGACGACAATCATGGGAGAACGGCGCACGGTGGTGAACTTCAACTTGTACACGGGCGGCAACGCCCTTAGCATCACCGACAGTGCGGCGGCGTCCACGAAGTAGTACTTCTTGAAACTCCTCGCCTTCCCGCGCCACAGCGACGCGTGTTCCCTGGTGAGCGCGCCCAGCCGGGGGCTCGCCTGCCCGGCGCGCACCAGGTCCTCGACCGACAAGTAGGAGAGCACCTCCACTAGCGGCACGTCGGGCAGCGACAGAAGCGTCGTCGGCGGAGGAGGCGGCGGCGGCGGCTGCGGACAGAGTCGCGTGTAAACCGGGTGTTTCCGAGCGAGCACCCCAGTGTTGCGGGTGTGCACAGCCTACAATCTAGTAAAGCTGAAAGGCAGGAAAGTACACCCAAAAAACGAGGTTCTTGAACCAAGTAAATATCCTTGGAACAAGTCAATTTCCTAGGTCAGCACAGGTCTAGAAAATTGACTTGCTCCAAGGATATTTACTTGGTTCACGAACCTCGATTTTTTAGATAAAATTTCTGTTCCTATGGTGATACTCGGCTCGTCACGAGACATGAAGATAGTTTTTCATGCAACAGGTAGGCCGAGCCGAGCCAATCCAGAGAAAAGAAGGCACCTCTAAATTCTGCGTTCCCTTCCTTTGCTACAATGCACAAAACTATAGTTGTCCCCGGGGCCCCGGATGACCTCGGCTTTACCAGATTCGGACTCAGCGTGTGTGATAACCCCCGTGCTTCAAATTTAAGCTGAATCGGCGTAGTCATAGGAGTGTCATAGACGTGCTCGGGAGAGCCCCGATGACGTCCCCGGGGGCCCGGACGACCTCGGCACTACCAGATTCGGACTCAGCGTGCCAGAAAACCCCTAACCACGAAATTTAAGTCGTTCCGAGGTTGACGGTCGGTCGGTCGGCCAAACCGTACCTTATTTTGACAGCCCCATTGGACTGCAGTGGCCCGGCCATGGCGCCTTGCGGGCGCTGTTAAGGGAAATTCGCGTGCGATATGGTTCTTACCGGTTCCTCGACTGTACACTTTAAGGGCGGGGGTGGAGCCAGTGATATCTGAGCCCGCTTTCTTGCTCGAGTCAGCATAGTTGCAGTTTTCCCAAACTTGCAACGCTATGATGGAGTAGAGGTCCGTAAACGTCAAGGTGTCGAAACAGATAACCTAACCTTATCAGACGAGACGTTTTTGTTGATGTTGACCACAAAAGCCTAATGCGCATTGCGCATGAGCAGGCTATGGTGGGGGGTGGCTGGGACGGGGTGGGGGGCGGCACCGGGCCGGCCGAGCCGCCCCACACCATAGCGAGCTCATGCGCAGTAGGCTTTTGTTCTTCCATGAGTCTTCTCTAATTCTGCCGCCGGAAAACTATACGTACAAACCTCAAACACGTCGCAAACACTTACCGGACTGAAGAGGGACACTGATCCTGGCGTACTGAATTACACGTAATGCACCAATGCACCCTTGTCGCCTTGTAGACCTACTGCCAACTTCATAATTTCAATGTTGCCAACTCATTTTTTAATCTCACTTTTGCACCAGACATGCATCGGACGGTTTGTTGGGATAGGCAAGCGAACGGAGGGAGGAAGCGCGGCCTGAAGACCGGCAGGTGGCCTATGATGTGTCATCAACTATGGTAAACTCCTTGGGCAGCTTCGACGGTCAAGTAGAGTTGTCACAGCCCGCCCCCTCAACCAGCGCCGCGCTCGATTTACGACCGAGCGTCGTGGGTTCAACTCTTCCCTGGAGGTCACATTTATTTACTTTATTTTTTGGACTTAACGTTTAGAATTTTTTCAGAGGGTAAAGTTTCAGCATTCGCAAGCAGAAAAGTGATACAATCAGAGATTTCTAGGTAGAAAACCAGCAATAATAAGGAAGTCTTTTCTCCAGACAGTGCGGATGCGGCCTATTCGAGATGTGGCGAAGCAACTCGAACAGCCGCGCCCAGAGAGAAATAACAAGTTGAATCTAGACATGTGCGCCGCGCCGCCGTTGCGCCGCCGCCGCCGAATTTCAGTGCGCCGCCGCCGCTGGCTAAAGTTTTTCGGCGCGCCGCCGCGCCGCCGCCGACAATTTCATCGGCGGCGGCGTCGGCGTGGCTGGTGTAAAGGGTCATTTCGTATCTCGAACCTAACTTGGGGACGCCGGGTGGGTAGGCAACCTGCTTAGCA